CTCTCTCTCTCTCTCTCTCTCTCTCTCTCTCTCTCTCTCTCTCTCTCACACACACACACACACACACACACACACACACGACTAGCACCGATGTGCGAGGGGAACCTTTACCTTTATCTAGACAGAGATAGATACATAGACAGACAGACACAGATAGTCTTTGACTTACAACAGTTCACTTAATGACTGTTCAAAGTTACAACCCCCTCCCTGCCTCCCTCCTGCAGTGTCTCATTTTCTTGGACGACCCACAAGCCGTGAGCGACATCCTGGAGAAACTAGTGAAGGAGGACAACCTTCTCATGGCTTACCAGATCTGTTTCGACTTGTACGAGAGCGCCAGCCAGCAGTTCCTCTCCTCGGTCATCCAGAACCTCCGCAGCGTTGGCACCCCCATTGCTTCCGTGCCCGGATCTACCAACACGGGGACGGTGCCCGGGTCTGAAAAAGAAGGGTGAGACATACATGCTTACTATACCTGTCGAGTCCTTCCCTTTCAGGAATGAGCGATATTGTGCAAAGGATAGGATCACCGATTTAATTGCCGCTGTGGAAGATGCAAATTGACTCGTTACGGGTAGTTCTCGACTTAAGACTGAGCCCAAAATTGATGTTGCTAAGTGAGACATGGGTTAAGGGAGTTTTGCCCCGTTTTACAACTTGCCTGGCCACATTTTTTAAAATTTATTTTTAAATTTTAATTGTGAGAATACACACACAGTACATCCAACTTAGCCTTGTTATGTACATTTTACTTCATTTATAATCTCCTTATTTAATATATTAATTACTAATTAATCATAACTACTAATATTTTGACTTTGTCTTCTGCTATATAACCATTGATAAAATTTATTTCGTGTTTTATAATATTTAGATGCCTTTGTCTTTTATTTCTAAAGTTAACCTATCTGATTTGGATATGCCATGCTTTTTCTTATTATTTTTGTTTCTGGAGGTATTATTTCATTTTTCCAATATTGTGCATATATGATTCTAGCCGCCGTCAATACACGTACTATTAGATACATTATTTTCTTCTTAAATTTTTCCGATATTATCCCTAGGAGAAAAAAATCCGGTTTAAATGGAATACGCTCTCCCGCCATTTGTTCCATCCATGTTTGAATCAGTCTCCGATATTTTTTTTTTGCAATATTTTATCACATTTTATTGTGGTAAAATGCACCTGATACATCCTGACCCTCCCAACAATTTGGAGGTATATTTTTTTAAACATTTTAGAAAGCCTGGTTGGCGGAAGATGCCACCTGTAAAATATCTTATCAAGATTTTCTTTTAAAAGCCGTAGCCGATTTCTTAAGTGAATTAAGTGAATCGTTGCAGTTGTTAAATTAGTCACACGGTCGTTAAGTGAATCTGGTTTCCCCATTGACTTTGCTTGTCAAGAGGTCGCAAAAGGGGGAATCTCATGACCCCGGGACCCTCATAAATGTGAATCAGTTGACCAGCATCTGAATTTTGACCAAGTGACCATGGGGAGGCTGTAATGGTTGTAAGTGTGAAAAATTGTCCTAAGTTAATTTTTCAGTGCCATGATAACTGCACGGCCCCTAAGTGAACTGTTGTAAGTGAAGGACTACCTATATTTCCTATAAATCAACTAACTGGTCTTGTTTCCTGGCCTTTTTTTTTTCTCTCATGTGCTACTTTGGTGGCCAAGGTTATGACAATCAGCAAAATCTCTTGGTTCAATATTTCACAATTGGGGAGCACATGGGTGGTGGTTGTTTTTTTAGGTCATCCTCAACGGTGTCGATATAAATTGCCTGTAGTAATAGAATAACATAGTTGGAAGGGGCCCGGGTGATCTTCTAGTCCAGCCCCCTACTCAAGCCAAGTAGGTAGAAAAACGGAATGGCTTGTGTTTTGGCCTACCAGTGGCCAGAAGGAGCTGGCGGAAGACTCGGACAGTGAGGAGGTTGGGGAGGAACATAGGCCAGTCCTGGAGTCTGGGGAAGGCTCTGACAGATGCTCTGCGTCAAAGGCAGAGATGGGGCCAGGGCGATCCGACAGTTATCAGCTGCCTCTGGAGTTGGACATCAGCGGGGAAGAAGAACAGCTGGAGCCTGTTCCCAGTGTGCACATGCACAGAGCTGCTAGAAGAAAGGAACAGCTAAGGAACAAGGATTGACTCGGTAGTAAAAGCACAGGTGGACGGTGAATCGCCCCTCCCAGAGGGAATAAAAAGGAGTGTGGGCTTTTGTAGGAGACAATTGGGTCATTAATTAATATGAAGATTTGTTCGTGAGTCTCAGAGATTCCTTGCCAAGTATTTCCTTGTACAGCAGTGTGCTTAGAAGCTATCGGCCTGGCAACTCTCCAAGCCTGATAAGGGCTGTGCTTGTAAATTCTCCCTCAAAAGACTCTTTGCTGGGACTTTGCTGGAGGTGAACGAGAGGAATTCACATTAGCCTAATCAGAAGGAGTTTTGTCGGGACGATTTTGTGAAGCTCAGGTCAGAACAGCTTGTTCCTCCAAGATAAAAGATTTGGGCCTCTATTCTTTTCATCCCCTAGGACATTTTGGAGAAGAGCCACAGTGTGAACGAGAATTTTTTGTTTTTGGTTTTTCAGAGAGATGATGGAGACAGAAGAGAAGAAAGGCAGCCCTGTTGCTTCTGTGAAGTCAGCTCAGACGGTAAGTGTCATCACACAAAATCTACTGATGTTTGTAGAAGATGCAACAGTGATTGGTCTCATTCGAGACAACAATGAATCTGCATACAGACAGGAGGTTGTACAACTTGCCTCGTGGTGTAACCGGAACAATCTGGAACTGAACACATTCAAAACCGTAGAAATGGTCGTAGAGTTTAGGAGAAACCCTCCCATACGACCACCTCTTACAATACTAGACAACACAGTATCAACAGTAGAAATCTTCCAATTTCTAGATTCTACTATATCACATGACCTAAAATGGACACCTAACATCAAAAACATCATCAAAAAAGCCCAACAAAGAATGTTCTTTCTGCGCCAACTCAAGAAGCTCAAACTCCCAAGGAGCTGCTGATACAGACGGGGGTTGGACTAGATGACCTACAAGGTCCCTTCCAACTCTGTTAATCTGAATCTGTAAGTTCTACAGAGGAATGATGGAATCTGTCCTCTGCACCTCTATAACTGTCTGGTTCGGTTCTGTGACCCAACAGGACAGACGCAGACTCCAGAGAGTAATTAGGACCGCAGAAAAAACAATGGCTACTGACCTGCCTTCCATGGAGGACTTGTAACCTGCACGAGTCAAAAAGAGGGCTGGGAAAATATCTATGGACCCGTCACATCCTGGACATAAACTGTTTTAACTCCTTCCCTCAAAAAGACGCTATAGAGCGCTGCACACCAAAACAACTGGACACAAGGACAGGTTTTCCCCGAACGCCCTCACTCTGCTAAACAAATAATTCCTTCAACCCTGTCCAACTATTTACTAAGTCTGCACTACTATTACTATTAATCTTCTCATCACTCCTTATCGCCCATTCCCTCCCACTTGTGATTGTAGGACTGTAACTAACAAGAAATTATTTGTTTAGCAGAGTGATGGCGTTTGGGGAAAAAACTCTCCTTGTGTCTAGTTGTTCTGGTGTGCAGTGCTCTATAGCGTCGTTTTGAGGGAAGGAGTTGAAACAGTTTATGTCCAGGATGTGAGGGGTCTGTAGATATTTTCACAGCTCTCTTTGTGACTCATGAGGATATACAGGTCCTCCATGGAAGGCAGGTCAGTAGCCATTGTTTTTTCTTCAGTTTTTCTTCTTTAATCTCAAATTCTTTCAATTGCTTTGCTCACCCAGTAAGCTCAGGCTCCTTTACTCAGGGAATGCCATCTTCAGGAGCCTCTTTGAGCTTATTCTTCCCCCATCCTGCCCCACACCTGAGTTTCAGAAAGGCCATCAAAATGTGCTCTTTTCAGGAAGCCTTTGGGATAGAGGTGTCTTGAGGTGTGGACTCATCGGTGCTCTCTGAGCTTGGGGGCTTTCGTGCAGACGTTTCATCACCAAACCAGGTAACGTTATCAGTGCTGGAAGGGAAGGGGGCTTGCAGAAAGGAGGAGGATGAAGATGGCAAGGTTCTCGGTGTTCTCAGAGCTTGGTGCTTTCCTTGCAGACATTTCCTGACCCACTCCACAAATACCACTCCCTTTCAGCACTGATGATGTTGCCTAGTTGGGTAATGAAACTTCTGCAAGAAAACAACCAAGCTCAAGAGAGAATCAAGTCCTTCTCCTCCTTCCTCCACCACTTCCTCCTCCTCCTCCTCCTCCTCCTCCTCTCTGCAAACCCCTCTCCCTTCTTTCACTGATGATGTTATCTAGTTTGGTAGTGAAACGTTTGCAAGGAAACAACCAAGCTCAGAGAGAACCAAGGATCTCACAGTCCTCCTCCTCCTCCTCCTCCTCCTCCTGTTCCTCCTCCTCCTCCTCCTCTCTGCAAACCCCTCTCCCTTCTTTCACTGATGATGTTATCTAGTTTGGTAGTGAAACATTTGCAAGAAAACAACCAAGCTCAGAGAGAACCAGTGACCCCACAGTTCAGCCCTGAGCTAAAATTCTCTTCTGCCATTGTCTTGAAGTGTTTCCTCTTGAGGTATGGTAGTCTGTTTTTTATTTAACTTCCTTAATTGTTCCTGGAATGGTTTTTTGAGTTGGTTGTTAACCTTATTTTATAGAATAGAATATGAAAGCCACTCTGAGTCAATGAATACTGGAGTGACAGTTAAGCCCAGTGAATAAATGAGATAAATAACGATACTTGTTTGTCCCTTCCCACATGCAGAGTCCAGGAACGAAAGACCAGATTCCCAAAATGATCAAGATTTTAAGTGGGGAAATGGCCATTGAATTGCACCTCCAGTTTTTAATACGAAACAACAATACGGACCTCATGATTCTAAAAAACACAAAGGTAAGGCCTCTGTGTACGGGTGGGTGTATCTGTCCTCACTTTGTGGCGGGCCTGAAGGCTGAATAACAACACACTTCGAAAGATTTGCAGAAAGGTTGGAGTTGCGAGCCCTGATGATGTGACCTGGTTTGGGTGATGACCCAGGGCACGGCACAGACATGACACAACCAGCTGGCAGTTCAAACCACTCCTTTATTGCGCCCACTGTGCCCCCAAATGGCCCCACATTCACAGCAAGTCCTGGAGCAAAGCTCTCACACGCACCTTCAGACGCCTCTGGGTGCGAGTCGTCCAGTAAGCCAGGTTAACCAAAACAGCAACCAGGGCCAGCAGTCCAATAAGCCAGGTTAGCTAAACAGTAACCAGAGCAAGAACTTCAGCAAAGCAGGCAACTGGCAAGCCCCACACTACAGAGTCTCAGCCGGTCCTTGAGTATGGAAGATTTGTCTTTAAATGAATCCAAACTCCAGCTCCTTTTTAGGACAATGATGGTTTATTCCATATATCAGCAAACAACAAATGCCCTAATTAGGCAGGAATGGCTAAAAGCCAAGCAAGGTTTGAGTTTGCTCTCTTTCCTTTTATTACCGTTATCATGAGACACACCGCACCACACCCAGGCCTATACACAGCTCTCGTTCTGGCCACGCTGAACCCATTATCCCTAAATGCTAGTAACCCTATAACATGTCTACATCCCTACCCTATTCCCACCCTCACTAACTGATCCCCATCTGGTGCCACCTTCACCATGTCTTAACTTGATGCTTAATTGCCACCTGTATGTGCCCCAACCCCCTCTAACAATACGCACCACATCAATACATGAAAAAAGCCATTTCCAGCCCCGCAGTTGCTTCAAAATCCATCCTGCACCCCCACAGTTGCTTCAGAATCCATCCTTCAGCCCGCAGTTGCTTTAGAATCCATCCTGCACCCCCAGAGTTGCTTCAGAATCCATCCTGCACCCCCGCAGTTGCTTCAGAATCCATCCTGCACCCCCTCAGTTGCTTCAGAATCCATCCTGCACCCCCGCAGTTGCTTCAGAATCCATCCTGCACCCCCACAGTTGCTTCAGAATCCATCCTGCACCCCCGCAGTTGCTTCAGAATCCATCCTGCAGCTGACAGCTCTGCTGAGTCATTCTAAAGCAACCTTCAACACCATCGGCTAGCACACAAAGCAGCAATCCAGATCCGGCATCCGCAGAGCTAAGGTGATATTCTCCACTGCCAGCTGACTTTCTGCAAGGTGTGTTCGGAGCTGACGGGCTCCTTAGCTAACGTGGAGCCTGACACAAGAGGACAGCAATCTCCAGGCTTTGGCAAGTGCATACGAGGCTCCACAGATTCCGTGTTGGTTCCCAACAAATGCCCCTCCCACTGGCACCTCCTTACATCTCAGTCCCCAGGTGTGCCTTGTGAAGGGGGCGGGGCACAGGCAGGGGGTAGGCCTTGCTCTTCTCTTGCGCTCTCCCTGCAGGCCTTACTAAGTCGGAAAAACTTTGCCTGGACTGACTGCCCTCCCCCAGTTTCCTCCGAGGCCAAAGGAGCCGCCCTCTCAATCTCTGTCGGCTCTTGTTCCATCTCATTGCTCCCCTCAGATTCTGATGGGGCCATGACAGTTTGGTAATGAAACGTCTTCAAGAAAACCACCAAGCTCAGAGAGCACCACAGCCGTCCTCTTCTTCCCTGCAAATCCCACTCCCTCCCAGCACTGATGATGTTACCTAGTTGGGTAATGAAACGTCTGCAAGAAAAGCACCAGGCTCAGAGAATAGCAGGGACCCCACGGTCCTCCTCCTCTTCCTTTCTGCAAACCTTTCCTCCTCCTAGCACTGATGATGTTACCTAGTTGGGTAATGAAACGTCTGCAAGAAAACCACCCAGTTCAGAGAACCCCAAGGATCCCACAGTCATCTTCCTCCTCCCTGCTCCTCCCCGCCACAAACCCCACTCCCTTCTAGCGCTGATGATGACCCCTAGTTGGGTAATGAAACACCTGTAAGAAAACCACCAAGATCAGACAGCACCAAGCGGAAAATTCTTTTCTTTCCCTACTTTTCATCTTCCCAGTGGTACATTTCAAATGTCGATCGCAACGTCTTCTTTTTTAAATTGTGAAAATTCAAAGGAAACCTGACAGCAGTACTTAAGATTCATCCCTAGGTACGTTGGTAATTCGTGTCATCCACAGCCAAATCCTCTGGCCTGCATGGGACAAGTTGAATGGTGGCAAAATTCTTGCTTTGGAGAAAAGTTTTAAGATTCCCCTGGAAGGAAGAGTTCAAATTGAGTTGGGCCACCCAACATCATTGGTTTTTGGTTTTTTGTTTTGTCTCCAGGGTCTAGATTTCCCCAGGAAACCCCAGAGAATATTTTGGGCTGATGTTCTTCTCACACACACACACCACGTTAAGTTGAACATTTTCTCGCAGTTTTGCTTCACCTGAGAATTGGAGGCATTCCGAAGAAACAAAGACCCAAACTTCACACATACCTGAAATAGTTATTTGTATCTCGGTCTTTTGCGATGAAGATAACACTTGGTTTTATTCTGAAATCAATCTGATTCAAATCCTTACAGTGTTTATCCTTAGAAATAGGTGTTCACCATTTCGCTTAGTCTTATTTGCAGGTGGCTGAGGTTGCAGGTTAATTCCTGAATTGTCCATTCCATCCAACATGAAATGTGGGGTTACTTTGTGTGGCTTGATCAGTATTACTCAAACTTTGGCAGCTTTAAGATGCGTGGACTTCAATTCCCAGAATTCCCCAGCCAATATGGCTGGCTGGGGAATTCTGGGAGTTAGAAGTCCACGCGTCTTAAAGCTGCCAAGGTTGAACAGTACTGAACTTGACGCTCAATATGTCCAAATTCATCCATTTTTTTTTCCTTAGAAGAATCATTCCAGATTTTTTTTAATTGAATTGTCCCAGCAAAACATTTTTAGCTTAAAATACGATGCTGCTGTAAAGTAATTGTAACTGCCTATTTTTAGTCGAATTACGGGGAATATTAACACCCCAAATTTAGTTTTCAGAAAGGAAGGGTGTCTCCGAAATTCCCATGATTTTCTATTTTTGAATTCCTTCGTTTAGCTTTTCAAGAATCCAGAAAGACCCAATCCTGCTCTGTTGCGTCCTTTCTGTTGTTATGACCTTCTGCTCTCCTCTTTCCTCCAGGATGCGGTGCGGAATTCTGTGTGTCACACCGCCACCGTTAT